TATGCCTTAATTGAAGTAGAAACTTTTGCATTTCAAGTAATGAACAAGTATAAAAAGGTAATGTGTATATCATGTAATAGGTGTAGTAAAAAGTGAAAACGTTCGAAGAGCTGAAGAAAATGATGGGACATTGGATGATGAAATAAATGAGTTTAAGGTGGGTTTTTTTTTTTTTTTTGTCATAATTAATTTTCTTACTATATGAAGTCCATTTACGTGTTTGATTTTTATTATTGGATTTGTAGGGATTGGTGCAAGATACTTGCCAAGGACTCTAGATCTTCCTACTCAAGGACATGTAAACAAATTAGGACCTCTCGGATGTGCGTACTACTCGAGAGAACATTAGAGTTTTATATAATTAACTGAGGAGACGAGCTACAAGTTTTGGAGTACATAGTTGTTAGTTCATGATATAGGAGCCATCATTAGATGTATTCATACTTAGTGAATGATTTTTATTTATGTTTTGATGATATGTTTTGGATTCAATTTTACAGTGATTGACATTACATATTTTAATTAATAGTCTTTTTGCATCTTTATATTATTTTGAATATCGTTAAAAATTTACTATATAAAAATAATTTAATTTCTTTCATAATAGTTTGCAAACATGCTTTCCCTACCAAAAAAAAAAAATAATAATAATAATAATTTGTAGGAAAGACAGGGTTTAGCTTACAAAATAGTCTATACCATGTTACTGCAAATTTCTAATTGTTGGGAAAATGTGTATGTTTTAGCCTGCAAGTAATTTGTAGGGAAAAATGAAATTATTTCATAGGCAAAATTAACTTTAGCAGACAAATAATTTTGTCGGGAAAAAACTTACGCAATGTATTGTATTCGTCTCCAAAGGATTCGTAAAGAAAAGCTTTAGTAGACAAATTTCAAAAATTTGTTGGCTAAACTCTATTCCCTCGATGTTTGGCCCACAAATATCCCTACAAAATTTTTTTTGTATACAAATGGTTTTCCCTACAAATAAGAACTTTTCCCTACAAATAAATTTTGTAGGGAAAAGGTAAAATTATTGTAGTGTGACACCTGAATTTAAAAGGATTTTTAAAATTAAATGACTAATAAGTAAAAATGGTTAATCAAGATCGTCCTTTCAATGTAACAGTAACATGAGATTAAACATGCACATGTTATTTATCTCTATAGAAGCTGTAAATCGAATTTCAAAATTCTATTTCTAACATTTTTCTCTCTTCGATAATGCCCATCAGCTTTTTTCATATTTTTAAATATTGAGTCATGAATTGTTGAATTAAGAAGAACTTTGCTGGACGGAAATGTCCATCCAGGGGGCTGAATTGGTGCCTTGCCAAGCGCCCCCTCCAATAGGGGGCGTCAATTAGGCCCCCTGTTTCGACAAGGCCTATGTGGCCCTGTCCAAACATCGTTTTCCAATTAAGAAACTGAGAAGAACATACTTTTTCTTTCTCTCCCATTTCGGATCTGACCAACTGTTGGGAATTTACTTAAACATACACAGCGGAATTTAACAAATTTCAATTCCCATTCAGGATTCAGCTTTGTATTTAGATAAAAACTGTGATAAGAAATATACCTTTGCTTGTAATTTGCAAACTCCTTCGCGTTATTCCTTTCCAGCAGCTTGAATCTACCTCCTACAGTTGTCCAATTGTCCAGCCTCCAATGAAATCCACAGAGAATAGACTGCAACTGCTAGAGTTTCTATCTTGTACCAGCAAGAATAATGAATACCTTATGGACCTCAAAACCTAGCTGTGTATATATATAAACCCAAACGGACCCGGTCCGGTCCAATATTTAATTAATCCAATTAATTAAACCCGGTCCGTGAATTAATTAATCCAATTAATTAATTCGGGATTATAAATAAAAAATTCAGTTAATTAATTTATTCAACGATTATTAAATTAACCAATTGACAATTTGCAATCTTCCAATTCTCTTTTGTGTGCGACCCATTAGGTTCCCGACCACGATGCCTAACGTCGTGAAATATTTTTTTGATCTAATAAAAAATTGATAAATTAATACACCCTTTAAATTTATCGTCAATTCACACTCGTCGTCCCTGATTGACATCTAGCAATGTGTCAGGGCAATACATGTGACGAAAAATGTCACGTGGTATAACAAAACCAAATTCGTTCGTTTACCGTGAAACTATTATCCCTTCGTCAATATGATCCGATCAATTACGAGATATAAAATTGTGTCAATCTCGATCATTGATCATATCTTTCACTCCACTATTAAGTCAATATAAATCGAAAACTCCTTTTCGACTTAT